GTGGCCGGGAGCGGCCACTGCCCTCCAGTCTGGGCGACGGAGTGAGACTCCGACTCAAAACACAAAAACAAAAAACAAATGGCACACTTTTAAAGTATTTACGGCTGGGGAGCGGTGGCTCATGCCTGTCATCCCAGCACTTTGGGAGGTTGAGGCTGGAGAACCACTTGCACCCAGGAGTTCCAGACCAGTCTGGGCCACATAGCAAGACCTCGCCTCTACAAAAAATCTACTCGGGGGGCTGAGGCAGGAGGATCGCTTGGACCCGGGAGGTCAGGGCTGCAGTGAGCTGTGATCCTGCCACTGCACTCCAGCCTGGGCACAGAGTGAGACCCCGACTCAAAAAATATATATATATATATTTTTTTTTTTTTTTTTTTATTGTAGACATGAGGTCTCCCCAAGTTGCCCAGGCTGGTCTCAAACCCCTGGGCTCTGGCAATCCTCTCACCTCTGCCTCCCAAAGTCCTGGGATGACAGGCGTGAGCCACCATGCCTGGCTAATCGGTCCCCATCTTAACATTTTGAAGTGTACAACCCTGTCATATTAAATACATGCATGATACCATGCAGCTATCACCTCCATCTCCAGAACTCTTCCACCTTGCAAAACTGAAGTCCTGTACCCATTAAACACTAGTCCTATCCTCCCAGCCCCTAGCAACCGTGATTCCACTTTGTGTCTCTATGATTCTGACCACTCTAGGAAACCTCATATAAGTAGAATCGTGTGGTATTTGTCCTTTGGGGACCAGCGATTTCATTTAGCTTAATGTACTCAAGGTTCATCTATGTTGTAGTATGTGTAAAAACATCCTTCACCCTAAAAAAAATTTTTTTGAAGGTAGACGCGGTGGCTCACACCTGTAATCCCAGCACTTTGGGAGACTAGGGTGAGAAAATTACTTAAGTTCAAGACCAGCCAGGGCAATATAGCGAGACCTCATCTCTTAAAATGAAAGAAAAAAAGAAGAAAGGAAGGAAGGAAGGGAGGGAATGAAAAAAAAGAACATACTCCCTTTTCTTTTTTTTCTTTTCTTTTCTTTTTTTTTTTTTTTTTTTTTTTTTTTGCGTTGGAGTCTCACTCCGTTGCCCAGGCTAGAGTGCAGTGGCACACTCATGGCTCACCACAGCCTTGTCCTGCTGGGCTCAAACAATCCTTCCATCTCAGCCTTCCAAGTAGCCGGAACCACAGGCATGCATCACCACGCCCAGCTAATTTTTTTTTATTTATTGTAGAGATGAGGTCTCGCCAAGTTGCCCAGGCTGGTCTTGAACCCCTGGGCCCTGGCCGTCCTCTCGCCTCCACCTCCCAAAGTGCTGGGATGACAGGTGTGAGCCACCATGCCCGGCTCGTCCTCTCTTTTCAAGGCTGCATAATACCCCACTGTATGTATACCGGACACTTGGCATATCTGTTCATCCACTGATGGACACTGGGGTCACATCCCCTTCTGGCTCTTGTGAATGATGCCGCTGTGAATCTGGGACTGCAAATGTCTCTTCAAGACTCAGCTTTCGCCGGGCTCGGTGGCTCAGCCTGTCATCCCACGCTTTGGAAGGCCGAGGTGAGTGGATTACCTGAGTCTGCGGGTTCAAGACCCGCCTGGGCAACTTGGCGAGACCTCATCTCTACAGTAAATCAAAAAATTAGCCGGGCATGGTAGCGCGTGCCTGTAGTTTCAGATACTTGGAAGGCTGGGGCGGAAGGATCGCCAGAGCCCAGCAGGTCGAGACTGAGGTGGCCGGGAGCGACCACTGCACTCCAGTCTGGGCAACATTGTGAGACTCCGACTCAAAAAAAAAAAAAAGACTCAGCTTTCAGCTCTTTGGAGTATAGACTCAAGAATGGAATGGAATTGCTGGATCCTGGGGTCATTTATTTTAAGGTTTTGAGGGAACCACTGCCTTGGTTTTCACACCCCCACCCCATTCCTACCAACTGTGGACAACGGTTGCAGTTTCTCTACATCCTCGCCAACACATTATTTTATGGTTTTGTCGGCAGTAGCCAGTCTAACAGGCGTGAGATGATAGCATGGTTTTGATTTGCATTTCCCGAACGGTGAGTGATGTGACGTACTTTTCGTGTGCTTGTTGTCCATTTTTATATCTCCTTTAAAAAAAAATATTTTTTGGCCAGGCTCAGTGGCTCAGCCTGTCATCCCAGCACTTTGGGAGGCTGAGACAAGTGAATTGCCTGAGCCCGTGGGTTTGAGACCAGCCTAGGCAACTTGGCGAGACCTCGTCTCTCCAGTAAAATAAAAAATAGCCGGGCATGTAAACGCGCGTCTGTAGTTCCAGCTACTTGGAAGGCTGAGGCGGAAGGATCGCCAGAGCCCAGCAGGTCGACGCCGGGGTGACTGTGAGTGTGCCACTGCACTCCAGCCTGGGCAACAGTGAGAGACTCCAACTCAAAAAATAATAAATAAGCCGGGCTCGGTGGCTCAGCCTGTCATCCCGCGCCTTTGGGAGGCTGAGGT